CTAGACATGACAGGACTGATGTATTTATGAACTCACAGTGGGTGTGGTTACCTGTATAAGATCAAGACAGTCAGCTTTCCAGCATGGAGGAGAATGAGGTATGGCTCATGGCCCCCATGCAGAACTGAGACTCTACCCACAGTTTATTCCTTCTAAGTGGGGAAAAGTCATCTTTTTCTTAAGGCTGTGGCAGCTGGTAGGTTGACACTTACCTACTGGGATGGCCCCACACTCGAGTATAGAGGTAGCACAAACTGAACTCACTTAATGGATGTCCTAGTTGTTTTTCTGTTGCTGTGATAAACCACTTACCAAAACCAACCAAGGGTCAGGGGCAGAGATGGGGTGGAGAGGATTTCTTTGGGTTACAGGTTATAGTCCATTGCTGAGGGAAGCCAGGGCAGAAAGTCAAGGCAGGTGGGGGAGGATCAGGAAGAGCTTAGGAGGAGAAGGGATGAATGAGATCAATAAATGAGAATGGCCCCCATAGGCTCAACTTTGAATGCTTGGGGTGAAGCTGGTGGAACTGTTTGGGAAAGGTCAAGTGTGGCCTTGTTGGAGGTCAGCTTTGAAGTGTCAAAAACCTACAGCATTCCCATGTAATGTTATCTCTCTCTCTCTCTCTCTCTCTCTCTCTCTCTCTCTCCCTCTCTCTTTCTGCCTCATGCCGGAGGAGTCAGATATAAGTTCTCAGCTACTGCTCCAGCACCATGTTTGTCTGCCTGCTTCCATGTTTACCACCTGTGACAGCCACAGACTCTTTCCCTCCTGAACCATAGGCCCCTGAATTAAACTGTTTTCTTCTATAGGTTGCCTTAGTCATGGTGTCTCTTCACAGCAAGAGAAAAATAACTAAGACAGAAGTGTGATAATACATTATAAGAAATCTTCAAAGAATAAAAGTATGTCTTTTAATATTTAGTAAACTTGTACTACTTACAAAACAGCCCCTCAGAATGGCAGTATAGAGCCAGATTGGAGAGCAGGATTGGTGACGCTTGTCCAAGGTGATGACTGATAAACACCATGAAGTCCTTTGTACATCCACTGCCTTTGAATTTTCTGCCATCTACCCACTGTATTCTAATGCTGTTTGGTATGCGTAATTGTGCTGTAACTGAGCCTCTTCAGTGGCCAAGATGGGAAAGGCATGAACATACCAAAGCGAAGAGTTTAAGACGCACAGCAGCACCTCAGGACAGATGGAATACTTTCTCCTCCTTTGTTAAGTCAGTGCAGCCTTTGGCTAGGAAGGTAGTGACAGTCCAACTTCTCTCCCCTGGCCACAGTGTCTAATGGCAGAGCTTGGAATATTGCAAGGACAAAAAAAAAAAAAAAAAAAAAAAAAAATCTCAAGCACTACTTCCTTTTAATGCAGAATTGCTAAACTGAGAGATGTCAGTGTTTGTTATAGGCATGGTGGGTCAAACACCATCCAATAAAATGGGATGTGTGCTCATGGAAGGCAGCCCGGGCAAGCAATACTGTTTAGAAAACAAGGCCCGGGGACTGAAAAGCCATTTGAGAGTGGGAATTACAGTGCGACTGAGCCAACAGTGTGTTCTGGTAGATAAGAGCTGACTGAGGGACTGTTCTCTTCGTTTCCCTCGGGGCTGCATTCTTTCTTTCTCTGGTACCCATCACCCGCTCTTCCTTCTGTTGCCCAGACCCCAAGGAATGGGTTCAGCCCTCATCTGGCCCAGCACTGGAAATGAAATAACTGGCAGTGGAAGCCAACACAACCCCTGGGTTGTGCCACAAACTAATCCAGCAGGACCCCAGCTGCCACACGTATTTATCTCTGTGCCCTGTCCTGGCAGCATCTCTGAGGAAGCAACAAAGTCTTTGAACTAAAGCCATTTTCTCTTCAGAGATCACATGGCTAAATGTTGGAGGAAAAAGTAAGATTCTGAGAAATTAAGAATTTATAACAGAGCAGGATTAATTGGTTTTACACTAACCTTTATAACCTCAATCTCTGAGTTTTCTCCCTCCTTTAGAGAGATCGTTTCTGTGCTGCCTAAAGAAATGAATGTGCTTTCTTCTAAATCATGACTGCAATCTCCAACAAAGGACAGCAAAGGAGTTAATTAGTACTCTTCACAAACCAGCCTTACATTCGACATAGACTTTGATTTGTCCTTTGCAGAACCCAAAAGAAAGCATTTATTCATAGAAATTTTCTCATGAGTTTTCACTGGAGTTGCTTCTAGATCGCATTCTTTTCCTGGAACCAAGATGAGGACTTTAGAACATTAATGAAGCGGCATCCTCTGACCTCATGGGGGATCATCAAATGACAAATCAAACACAAGGGAAGGTTAAGGTGGCTCTTTAGTTCCTTGGCAACATTAGATCCAGGTAGGTATTCATCCAAAGAAGCTATTCACACTTTACAAGGAGACCAAGACCATCACTGAGGACAAAGTCTTCAGGGCAATGGGACACTTGGAGATCATTTGTATCTAGTTTCTAAATGACCATAAAAGCACTGGTATCAGGTATACATGTATGCTCAAAAAAAGATGAGGAAAACTTGGTCAGAAAGTCATCTGGTTACCCTGAATGTGGCCATGAAGTATGGGTAAAACATGCAGTTTTGTTGCCTTTGGGTTCCCAAGACATGGTGCAGGGAGGATGAACCCAGACTCCTCAGTTTGGTGCAGCAAAGCTGAATTCAGGGAGACCACGGTGGCCAGAGCCTACAGGAAGAAATCAGGGAAAAGGGATCCCACATGTGAGGAAGTGCCTCTAGAAAGTGCTGCAGGCCCCAGCTTTAACCTGCTACAGGCTCCCCCCATCACCATTGGGACGGTAGACAATATAAATTGTGTTTTCAGGTAAAAGCACTGTGGGGTTGGACTTGTAATACCCATCCCAGTGGTCACTAAACACATATTTAAATTTACTGAGAACAAGTAACATTTATAATTACCCTTCCTTAGTTGTATTAGCTGCATTTTTAGGGTTTCGTAGTCAATACAGCGGCAAATACCTTTATCTTTCTAAAAAGCTGAATTAAAAACTGCTGGGAAAGGGGAGGTTTGAGGGCCTGGAGAGAAAAAGGGAAGCCAAAGCGAAGGTGTCACTGAAACAAACGGGAGAGCTGTGACTGGGTGGGCTACAGGGAGGATATGGGAATGTCTACAAGATATACAGAGATAAAGAGAGAGACTGAGGGAATGACCGATCAATGCCTGGCTCAACCTGAGGCCCACCTCATGAGAGAGAGCCAACTCCTGACACCATTAATAATACTCTGCTATGTTTACAGATGGGGGCCTAGCCTAACCAGTTTCTGAGAGTTCCTCCCCTCTCCCCCAGCAGCTGATCAAATCAGATGCTGAGGCTCACAGTCAAGCAAGTGGGAGGGATGGTTACAAGAACCAGGAAGGGATAAGAACGCTGCAAGAAGACCTACAGAGTCAACTCAGCTAGACCCATGGCAGCTTACAGACACAAAATCAACAGTCAAAGATCATATAAGGACTTGACCTAGGACCCCTACCCATATGTAACCAATGGGTATTTTGATCTTCATGTGAGTTCCCTAGTGTGTTGACCAGGTGCTATCTATGACATGGGCTCTGTTGCCTGCTTTTGATCATTTTGCCCTAGCCAGGCTGCCTTCCCTGGCCCTTAGGGGATGAAGGGGAGCTCAGCTCTGATTGGACTTGATGTGCTTGGGTGGGCTGGAGCGGGGAAGGGGGAGAGGGTAGTGCTTCTTTTCTGAAGACAAGGGAAGGGAGATAGGGTGAAGAGGGTAGCGGGAGGAACCAGGAGGAGAAAGGACTGTGATTGAGATGTAAAATAAATATATAAATAAAAAATAAATTAAAAAAAAACCCACTGGGAAAGGTAGTCTGAATATATTAAATGAATTAAAATGTCTAAAATGATTTTTTTTTCTTAACCAAGAGGTTTTTTTGGTATGTGTATGTGTCCATTTGATCTAAACTTTATGATAAATTTTGGATCTGTACTATTTAGAGCTATGCTCTTGGTTTTCAAGAATGCCTAATGACATTTTTAAGTTCTCTGTTACAGGGACAAGTCCACAGAGACAGCACCAACTTAATCTTCTACAGGAGAAGTTCAATCAATAGGCTGCCAAAAAAAAAAAAAAAAAAAAAAAAAGGTGACTCAACATTCTTCTTGGTAGCTAGCTTTAGCAATAATAAACTCCCTTGCATTTCTTTTCAAATGCATGTTTGATTGGGACAGCTTCCCAAGCCACTTGTCTAGATGTTATCATTCTGACAGCTCATGATATTGGCATTTTTCTCTTGAATATGCAGATTTGTAGACGCTTTGACTAGATGGATATCGTAAGTCAAATGAGCTCAATTTTGCTTATTTCTTGTGAATAAATTGAAAGCCGAAGTCTTCTCCATCATGATTAAAATCAAGCATTTTCTCCAAGGCCATACAGAGCTGCTTCTCTTGCTGCCTAAGCAATTTCAATCACAAAAGCAAATTGCCTCCATATGGACTCCTACAGGAGACTTCAACTAGATAGAAAAATCTCCTCACTAGGGACTCTGAGGCTTCATGGTAGATGGGGTAGAGACATTGGAGATTAATTATTGAAAATAAGCTGTGCCTCATCCCATTTCCTCTCTGAGGATCACATGTCATCTGACAGCTGTGTAGAGTAGCTGACGGGAGCTCCTCTATGGAAACCCACAGGGTATGCGTGGCAGGGACAGGCAAGCAACAGAAACTCCTGGCTATGGATGTGCTGTCCTCGTCCTCCCCCCCCCCCCCCCCCCCCCACACTCAGTCCCCGCAGGCCCAGGCGAAAGCAGGCTCAGAATATACTGGGATGGAGGATTCAAGATGAGCATTATTGACTCTACAGGAAACTCTGAAAAAGGGCTCAGAGGGAAGCAGGCCTAAGATGTGACAGGCCAGACAAATACCATGTGCTGAGGACTTCGGTAGCCTTGGTTTGGGACAGTAGCAAAGAGCACTGAAGAAATGAACAAGAACCATTCTCTTCTACTTCTTTCATTCTAGTTCCCCTGTCAACATGGGATGCATTTATTCTGAAGTAAAAGAAGCTTTTACATCCTCAGGGTTTGTTTTTGTTGTTGTTGTTTTGCTTTGCTTTTGTTTGGTTGGTTTTTTGTTTTGTTTTGTTTTTTTACTTAGGAATCACTTGTGTTTTTAAAAAGAACACCAGTTAAAGTGTTTTATAAAAAGCAACAGTACATCTTCTAAAAATATGCTTGGAAAGTAACCAATAATTAGCTGTTAGAGATGTTATTTTCCATGACCACTATAAAATTGCCTTCCCTTCAACTGGAATGTTTTCATATGTAATTATGAACTATTTAATATACCATCACCTAAAGTAACTCCTGAATAATATACTTGAGAGGAATTGCATTGCAGTAGACCTGAGGCTGTCAACATGTAGCAAAATCAGACTCACAATCTTTGAGCTTGATCAGAAAGACACGGTTATCAGCTGAAAGCCTAGAATTTCAATGAGGAAGAAAGTAACCTTACTGAGAAGTTGTCGCTGTAATATTACTAGCCCATAAATAATAATTTTCTAAAGTAAAGCACAGAGACCAATCCAGTGAACCAGTGCATGAGTACTGAATAGTTTTTCTGCGGTAGAGAAATTTGATTTTCCTGATTTTGAAAGACTTGACTTCTAAAATGTCCCAGTGATGAGATGAGGCTTTTCTGGTAAATAGTAATCGGTGGATTTATTTCAGCAGGCTTTACTGAAACACTGGCAAGCACTCCTATGAAACAGGGACCAGCAGCTAAGGGCTCCAGGTCCAGCCAGGAGCTTCTACTCATTTGCCCTGGATATACTTATGTGTCACATACACAGCCATTGCTGGCCTGGAAAAGACCCAGTACTCAGGGCATAAGTCAAATGGAATGTAGCATTTCAATGTCATTTTTGAAAAAAAAAAAAATGGGTGTCTTACATGGTCATCATAGAGTCTAAATACATGCATCTGCTCTTCTTGATTTTTTTAACTCCTTAAAAATAAAAAAAAGTACTGTTATAGTGATATGTATCAAAAGTCTTGAGTTCTAATTCTGGTTCCAAACTAGCATCACTATAGGCAAGTTACTTGATCTCAACAAGCCTCTATTTCCTTATCTGCTAAATGAGGATTTTGAAAGACTTGACCCCTAAAAATAAAACATGGAGATGCCCAAGTGAAGATAGGTTTTAACTGTGAACATTTCTTAAAGGCCCAGAGGAGCCAGAAGCAACCAGGCCTTAAAATGATAGAGGTGAGCCAGGCGAAGTGGCTCACGCCTCTAATTCCAGCACTCCGAGAGGCAGAGGCAGGCGGATCTCTGTGAGTTCCAGGCCAGCATGGTCTAGAAGTCCAGGACAGCCAAGGCTACTCAGAGAAACCCTGTCTAGATAAAACAAAAAAAATAAACCAAAACAAACCCAAAAAAACCCGACAGAGTCAGCAGGCAGTGGGGGATCTGTTGAGTGCTAAAGACTATGATAAAAAGGAAAGTCTTTCTGCTACGGGGACAGTCAGCATTCAGCCCCTGTCAACTGTCTTTACATGGGTTGTGTCAAGTCTATGTTGCTATATCATAAGGTTTTTGAAGAAAATGGAAGTGAATATTTCTGGCCATATACTGTTATTTTTAAATGCAACCTAGAAAGCAGATTAAACTTATGTCTGTGGGCAGAGCAGGACCTGTGGCCACTACCTTGTGACCTCTGCAGAGATCCCCCCCTCTGTTCTGTGGCTCAGCTCTTTTTAGTCTTCTTCTCACTGGGTGTCATTAGCATATGTATACCATAGGGAATTAGAGCCACCACCGTCAGTGGAATGGATGCGCTTTTACAGAAAGACAACAGGTAAAATAAATGTTCCCCTTGAGTTGGGATCTTGATGAAGTGATAAAGTTGCATTGTGGTCAGTGAGGTCAGAGCACAGAGCAACCGGAAGCTCAGCTTGCAGCCATTTTCTCCCCGGCAGCTCAGAAGGAACATTTCTGAGTTGATGGCAAAACCCAAGCCAAAGAGGACCCCAAGGTTCCTCACAAGTCCAGCAAAAGGCGTGCTGTCAATGTGGATCCAGTCTGGGTTGGCACACCACTTTTTGGCGATGGGCACAGACCACAGCAGGTCAATACCGAGCAGTCTGAGAAGTAGATAAAAGCCAAGTGCAAATAGGAAGAGGAAGATGTTGATCTTCAGGTACACAGTCAAGCTGGCCATGTGGATGCCTGGAGTGTGTTCAAATGCCTCCGCTACTAGCATCCCTAGGGATTGAAAAGAGATACAGACATGAGTGTGTGATCCTGAGGAATCCCTCTCCTCTGCACTTGGGAAGGTTTTAGATAACCAGGTTTTAACAATTTCCTAAAGTGTCTTCAGACATAAACTGAAAGCAGATTTAGTCTTTCAACTACCTACATTGGCTAAACAGGATCCGCCAAAAGTCGGTAGAACTAAGTGGCAATTCATTTTGCAGTCAGAACACTAAGCAATACAAAGCAGCCTCTAGGTGGAGTTAAGCTGAACAATAAATAAGAAGGTAGACAACTGAGACAGAGTGTCTTGGTTGTGAGTTTCAGGGTCTTTATGAAGTCCCCCATAGAAGATGGAAGCACAGTGTTTGACGTAATGGTTTGGAAGATCATCTTCACTTCACTCACACTTCAGGAAAGTCTGTCTCACCATGCAATCATCCTTTTATATCGTTGAGAGAGATTGGGTCAGCATGTACAGTCTCATGAGAGAGGTATTAAATCACCTATGCGCCCACGGTAGGAGCACTTATGTTAGAGGCTTGATAGATCGATCTCTGAAACCAGGAAACTGATGACACCACAATGCAGCAAACAAAATGAAGGTGAAAGAACACGACTAAACACAAGAGACCATACTTACCACCAATCACTCCAAGAATGACCTGATGAGGGAAATGCGTTGCTATGAATACTCTGGAGATGCAGACGCTGATTTGAATCAACCAGAAAACACTCCAAAGGAAGAACCAGGTCAGCCTGCGACGGGAGAATGGATACAAGTGTGAAGAATGGATACAAGTGTGAATAACAAGGAAATCAAAACACCTATAAAATGCGGTGGGTGGAACCTGTTGGCCTTCCTTATAGGAATCTTCCAGGAACGACATAAAACAATTCTACAGTCTTTCTTCCTCAACATGCTTTCATGCCTTCCATAGGATTCAAAAGCTCTCACACGGGACCTCATATTCCGCAATATTTAGTGCTAGGAATCCTCAAGGGGTTTATTGTTGACAAAGACCAAAATTTAATTATAGAAAGACCAAGGATTAAAGAGAAATGAGTCGGTCAAAAGAGAGGTAAGCAAGTGTTCATCCAAGTGGGAGAACTAATAAGGATTTGAGGATACCAATGTAAAGTGTAGACATTCACTGCATTCTCTTTTAAAGATTTAATTTATTTTAATTTATGTGTATGAGTGCCTGCATCTATGTATAAACATCGTGTGTGTGTGTGTGTGTGTGTGTGTGCCTGGTGTCCTTGGAGGCCAGAGGGGGTGTCTGATCCCCTGGAACTGCTGTTATAGATGATCGTGAGCCACCAAGTGAATTGTGGGAAGGGTCCCAGGACCCTGGGTTCCTTGCAAGATTCAGGAAGTACTTCTAATCACTGAGCATCTCTTCAGCCCCCACTCACTAAGTTTTTAGAAATGAAGACAATATTGCCATTATAAGTATCAAAGAGAAAAAGAAAAAATTTTAGAATAAACATATTTTTTTCTAAGATTGTTAGTTGGACGGGAGAATGACCCACATAGATTTATTTCTTACATTATTCATTATGACTCTGAAGAAGGAGAATGTATTTTAAATTTGTTATTTTAAAAGAAAGTTTATATACTGGTATGGTTGTATGGTATATTTTTTTTAAAAGTTGACACATTTTGTTTCTATAACTAAATTTTGGTCAGTTTGTCAACAACTTAACATGTAAGGATTCCTGGCATTCAATACAGCTTTATTTCTCATTTTAAAATTCCTTGGATTTTAATATTTTATAAGATTTTTTGCATGTTTCTGTTTCCAATCAAAACTGTACAATTTATGACTAAAGTGGCATTTAAGATTGCTTTAATTACAAAGAATTTCAAAAAAAGACAGAAGAAAAAGCCCAATTTCTACAAACAGTGAGTAGCTGAAAAGTTCTATATGCTTCTACACATTAAGAAATCTGTTAGCAGTAAGTCTAACATTCAAATTTAATTTTGCCTCTAGAATATTTTAATTAAAAAGACTGCATAGACTTTAACAGCTAGAATATATTTTACTGATCTTAAAAGCATTGGGTGTTCAAAGTAGGAAGCATAATTTTACTAAATAAATCGATGCATCTGAGAGCAAGGATGATCCTTAAAATTTTAAATGAATCTTAAGGCAAGAGAATGTGCATGCAGATATGTTTTCTTATGCGATTTTAGATGACGTGTTTATGAGCTTCCAGAATAATAATTGAATTTCAGAATCCCAAAGGCGTATTTAGCAAGTCATTAATCAGATAAACATTTCCAACTCAATTATAAACGTGGTAATAGCTGTGAGCTAATTAGGGCATTTTCTTAAAGCAGAATATTCATTTTCCACTCATTCTGCTACATGGGCTGTGAAAGACTAGAATAAGCGAATTTCATTGGACAACTGAAAATGTGTGAATTGACTGTTTGGAAACGACCTCACTTAGTCAACACTGTCTGGCTAATGCCACGGGAGTTGGAACAAGCTGACCTGTGCAGAGCGATAGAGGACTTATCCATCCGGCTGATAGTGCAGCTTAGGGCAGCTGTTACCATGACATACCAGACACATGATGAGCCCATTGCGTGGCCAGATGGACTTCCTGTAACGAGCATCATTTGTTCAAAAAGTGGTTAATTATCAGGATCAAGAATGAGACAGTAGGATGGCACATTTGGCATGGAAACTACAAAAAAATAAAAAAGGCTCATCGGACGCAGGTTACATATACTGCATGGAAGCAGAAAAAAATGAGGAAAACGGAATCATTTTGAGACTCAAATTCATCATCTCAAAAACACTTTAAAAAAAAAAAGAAGAAGAAACAGAGAAAACTTCTAGAAATATCTGTTTTTTTCCTCTTGGTCCCAGAGTAGCCTACTTTTGAGCATTTAGAATATGGGTGATGATTAGAATAATGGTTAGAGTTAAAATTGCCTTGTCAAATACAGAGACTGTGCCTTCTCCAGACAATTCCATTCTGATATAATAAGGCCATGAAACTTCCTGACTATTGTGAGCTTACGTGTATAATCAGTTATAACTTTATGTAATTCTACCTAACTTTCTTTAACGAAAATGCTTTATATATTAAACACTCACACACACACACACACACACACACACACACACACACACACACATGCAGGCATGCATGCATGCACACGCTCTTCTCCAGATTTTCAAGCTGACTGAATTCTGCAAATCAATATATTCAAGTATAACTAAGACCATGGGCAGTCGCACCCAAATCTAACACAATCTTATTCATTTTTCAAATGTTTTCAATCGACAAGAAAATTAAGGTTCTTCATTTTAGTATAAGGTTCTTATACTACATCCTGAATCAATTTATTTTCTTTATGCTGACAGGCTATCCTTGCTGTGCCTGTGGTTTACTAATTGACTTAGGAACAACTGCTGTGTGTGTGTGTGTGGAAATGAGAATGTGCATATTTTGGCCCCTGCAGTGAGATCTTTGCCAAACAATGGAGAATCCAATCCACAAAGGCACTAAAGGGGGTTGTGAATCTTGACAGAAAACACCTGCAATCAGGCCTTCTCTATTACCAGAATGGATGCCTTTCCTATACTGTTAGTTTTATTTTTAACCTCTTAACTTAGATGTGGGACATAACTTTTTTTTCCTAGCAGAAAGTCACTCAGGTTAAATAACAGACTATCTTAGAAAGCAAAGTACCAGTCACTTTTTCAGTTAAACACAGAATTTACTATAGGAATTCTTTCTCTCTCACTCCATACCCTGTGACAAACATTTCACAAGATGGAATAGATGCCAGGAAGTTCTAGGACCGAGAAAAGGGGCATTTTAGCCACCTCCAAGTTGTCAATTGATCCATCCACAAATATGGAATACTCTTAATCCTTGGCTGGTGGGACATACGGTCTGAGCAGCCAGATATTTAAAGAATTAACTGTGGTATTATAAATGCTGTGATAAATGTAAGTATGCTTTTATGGGAGCAAAAGAAGATATTCATAAAAGTCATTAGGAACTCGTATATTTAGGGTTTGTTTCAAAGGACTGGCAAGAATTTCACAAGAAGACAACTCTTTCACATAAGCTAAAGCAAAATGTAATGTTCTATATATATATCTCCACATAATATAGATGTTATACTTAATACAGGATCTTGTAAGTTAAAAAGAGTCTAAGAAGCCCTACTAAGATGCTACACAATCCATACCATACGGCTATGGGACACTACTCGTGCATGAAGATTTAAAATTACTTCAGGAAAGTGAGGCTTCTCTAATTGCTTACCTGGGCCTGTTTCACACGTAGTAGGAAACTGTTCAAGACATGGGCTTGAGTGATTTGGATAAATATGGGTTTCCTGGATCCACCAGTAAGGCCGATGTCCAAACAGTATCCTGTGGATAAACGAGTGTGGATTTCACATGTACTTAAACACAACAGCTGACTGAGTGGAGTCTTGTAACGCTTCTAAAAAAAAATGACTCAATTAAAGGGTCAAGGAGGAAAGCTCCTAATTAAAACGCTCTGAAATAACTCGGGTTCTGCTCTCTCATCGTTATAGAGGAGGGTAGTATCCCAGGTTTGGGGACCCTCGCTCCCATAAACAGGGTGCTTTCAGAACTTGGACTGGAATGACCGAAATAGTCGTTAGAATCATCAATCTCATTATTGCAGTACTAACTTCTTAATTATCCATAACATATGTGTCACAGGGTTTTGGAACCACTTCTAATTCAAAGTATATATTTCTATGCTTTTTGTATGTTCCGCTTATGAATCTGGTGTTTCAAAGTAACCAGTTTGTTTGGAAGATATTCCATGTCGAAGTACATGCCCCTGAAACTTGATCATTAAGTTAAAATTACAAATTTAAGAATAAATTTTAGGAAAGATAAAACATAAGTCTTACCATTTAAATATTAGATTGAACCAGTCCCCTATGACTGCTACCCATATCATCTTGGTTCCAACAGTCTGATCCAGTTGAAACCAAAGTGGGAAGTAAATGGAAAAGATGTTTCGGGGGTCTCCGACATTGGACATAAAATTTAGAAAGTCGTAGTAAGCCGGGTAGTCTTTCTGCAGATGCTGAATCATAAGCACTCCGCTCCGATGAAGGACATCCATCATGAAAAGATGCAGTCCTAAACACGAAGCAGCCAGAGCCGCAGGGCTCTGTGTCCAGCTGTCTTTATACGGTACCCGCGGGATGTGTTGAGCCCGGGACTTGTGATGCTGACCATCTGTGGAGAAAGCACGGTGGTCCTCCTCCCCACAAATGCTCATCTGTTTGTGGCTTTAGTTGGTAGGAAGGAGGTGCAGTACATGCTGATCTGAGACAATTTGGAGAGGGGCACTGCGGATTTCTCCTGCGTCTTCCCTTTGGGTGAACAGTTGGCCCATGTTTGCTTGAACCTTTCCACACAGTTCATTTCCCTCAAGGGCAGAACATTAGCGATCGCTATGCTTGCCTAGCAGACTACACGGGTAATTATTCCACGTCAAATCAGCCTCAAAGCCACGCATTTTAATTTCAGATAGACTGTGGCTTTCGGACTGTTCTACTGGGCCTTCCAGGAGAATGGTGGAGTAAATTTTTTTTTCCTTGAAAATTTTATATGATTCAACAGATTAACTTCTGATCATAGGTTCTGAGAGGATAGATCTTCAACATCAAAGAATGACAGGGTATGGATGGGAACAGGTAGAGGATACAGGGAGCACATGGATTCAGGTTGCAAATGTGTTGTTTACATTTTTGACTGTGAGGCAAAAAAACAAAACAAAACAAAACATACTTCTTTGGGTTAGGACTAAACTATGAGCAGTAGTAGCGGTAGGTAGGAGTGGTATTGTCATTGTCATTATTATGTTCCGATGTGTGTACGCCTGTGTGTCTGTGGCACAACATATTTGTAGAGGTCAGAGGACAACTTTCAGGAGTCAGTTCTCTCTTTGGGGGGAGCGGCATGGGGGAGATGCGGGTGGGAGGCTGCGGGGAGTGATGCCAGCTCAGCAGGCTTGTGGAGCAAGCACTTTCAGCATCACAGAGCAAGCCATCTCCCTGGGTCTACATTGTTTTTAGCTGACTGATCAGAGAGCAGTTAAGAGGTTTGGAACACTGCACTTGTGGCAGAGACAGAAATCAACTACAGAGGGTTTTCCACCAGTCAGGAATTTTTCAACCATTTGGTTTATTGAAGCTGTTCATTAGAAGTAAACGAGAAGCACCCAAACATGTGGACTGGGGTGAAGAGGGTGCAAGCATGGAGACCTCACATCGGAGTGAACTGATGCTTGGTCTAGAAGGGTTGATGGGGATTTAATTAAACCCCTCCAGATTCTGAAGGTGCAGCTTAGTAATGCCCTTCTCATCCCTCCATTCAGACAGCTGTCTTTACTAATCATAACTTCCTTGACCAGGGTTGGAGGCTCCCTGCTGGTTGAGGTTTCCCTGCTGGTTGAGTCTCCCTGCTGGTTGAGGTTGTAGTTCTTGCCTGGTCCTGATAGCCATTAGGAGCTTTGCACTAAAGGCAGAACCCTCTCCCCTCAGAAGGGTCCCCTGCTCTCTGCCTGACTCCATCTGGAGAGTGTCTTTAGATTCAGTCTCCCCACTTGATATAAGGCCTCTGACACAGCTCTGTGCAAGCTCTCCTCTCCCTGTGTCTATATGTTAATTAGGTACTGAGATTCTATTCTTATGATAGGAGCATGCTCTATAATGCAAATCAAGCATCCTTGTAGTGCATAGTTCCAATCAATTATGTACACCTATTCTTAGAGACCCCCACCCATTCCTATAGGGGTATGGAATTAAAGTTTATGCTCTGGAATTAAAGTTGAACTAGCCATCAGCTCATCCCTGGGTGTGTAATCCCTGTACATTCTTACCGGTCATTCCAGGCTTCCCCTCTCCTGACTTAGTAGGCTGCTGGGAGGCAGCCTCCAGCCATACAGCCATCACCATGAAGCCCTTCTAGAGTTGTCCCATCATTCTAGAGCAGTAGCTCTCAACCTTCCTAACGCTGTAACCCTTTAATACAGTTCCTCATGTTGTGGTGACCCCCAACCATAAAATGATTCCGCTGCTACCTCATAACTCTAATTTTGCTTCTGCTATGAATTGTAATATAAATATCCGGTACACAATCACAGAGGTCA